GCTTTGAGAGAATTTTTGTAATTATATAGGTTTTATGGCAGGGAAAAGAAAAAATCCGTTCCAGTGCTTTTTAAAAAAAAAAAAATCCTTGCTTTGAGGTTTTTTGGTCGTATTGCTTGTGAATAGTTATCATGGCACTGGAGTGCTTCGGTTAATTCTGCATGGCAAATAGCCATCTGGTAAAGGAGTCCAGTTACCTCACAGTTGTATTTGGAGCATACTCCACATGGAAACTGTCTGGGACTTCTGCTGGTGCTGTGTCCCTGCTGGCGCTGGGGACCCTGCTCTGACCCCCCGTGACCTGTGCACGCACCGGGCTCCTTCCCTGTGCCACCCTGGCTGGCTCTGCATCCGAGCCCAGGGCTGCTGCTCTCTGGGATTCTGCACTCGTCATCCTCTGGCGCTGTGAAAACTCGGGTCACTTCTTGGTTCTTGAATTTGGTGGCAGTGCTCTGCTTGGTCAGCTTGGGGTTTGTTGGGTTTTTTTTCCCTTAGTAGAAATTGAAGTGAGTCAAACGTCTCGAGCCTGCTCATCAAAGGCCAGCAGCGCAGGGGAGCCTTTCAAGGGTTCTTTCATCTGAGACTTGTGAAGGAGTTTTAACTCCCTGGTTTGAACTTTGGACAGTACCAGAGCTCACTCTGAACCTTTAGGGAAAAAAGTGTTGATCTGTGTACCTAGAACCCTTTGTGACTGCTAAGATCAAAGCTGGTATCAGTCATTTGGTTTTGTTCACTGCTGGCCCCGCAGTTTCTAATGCTCCCAACTCAAATCGGTTGCTGGTACTGCCCTAGGCTTTTTTGTTTTAATAACTCCTGCTGGCTCACCTATGTGCTTCTGTGACAGAAATCAGCTTTAAGTAGAGAGCTCTGACTGCCTTAGCAGTGGGCAGTGGTACTTTGTTGGAGTGTTTGGTGAGAGGAGTATGGAAGTGCTGAGGAGAAGCTCGCTGTGGCAGCTCAGGTGCAGACCATGGCCCTGCTGGTCAGGACTGATCGTTCCAGACAGGACAGGATGCGGAAATGGGGCTGCTTTGGCTTGTGAGCACCTTGCTGGTTTCCCTGGTTTCCAGGGCTGCTTGCAGGGTGCTGGGACCAGGGCTGCTCCCCTGCTCCCGCTCTCCGTGTGCTGCCGCCTGGGGCTCGCGCCTGTCTCCAAAAATGACTGGGGTTGGTTTTTCTTCATGCTTAGCTCGCACGGTGCAGTTGGCTCCATGTGACGTCAGGGCACCAGGGTGACGTTTCTCCTCTTTTGGAATAACCAGAAGATACTGAGGGAATTCATCCTTTCGCTGTGCCCTAGGGGACAGGAGCGGGAGGCCAAGGCAT